AAGCAGCCAATTATTATCCTGTTCTCTGCTCTGTTTGTTATTTTTCTTTCCTCCCTCCGTTCTCTAGCTGTGCTATCTGTGTGCGCTTATTAATTTTCCCACAGAGACTACAAATTAGGAGCACGCCCACCAGAGGATCACAGTCGCCGAGAACTACACTCACCTGTCCATTACACACTCACTATCAAACCACACGTGACATTGTGCACTTACACCCCTGTTTTGCCTTGTTTGTTTGTTTTTGTTTTGTTTCCTCTTCTTCAAGGTCTGTGTCAGTCTAGGTTCTAGATCTCCCTCACCGCGCCAAAACATGTCTCGCACAACACCTACTATGACCAAAAGGCTTCTCACCAGGAGCTCAACATCGGAGATAAAGTGTGATACTACAGCTTCGCCCAACCAAGGCAGAACGCTCCCCAACGTCTGTCAAAGAAATTCCTACCTCACTGGACAGGACCCCATGAGATTGTGGACAAGCTCTCACCTGTTGCCTATCGCTTTACATCCAGGTCCCGAAACTAGGATTGACTCCTTTCACCAAGATTTTTTTTTGTCGTAAATCATTGAAACCGATGGCTAGTCGACACCCCAGCGCGTATAGCTACCCTCACCTATGATCAACACGACATCCTGCCCAACCAAACTTTATGGATCAATGTCCCTAAGGGTTCGATCCTCCATATTAACGATTTAGCATTGTATCACCTTACCGACGACTTTTAGCAGAACTGCTCAAGCCTCTGTGTCATCAAGAAAGCAGCCAATCCAACGAGGGCTCTCCCAAAAGGGACGTCATCCTGAAGTCACCGCAGTAACCAATCGGCAACGGAATTTCCCTCCAGCAGCCATCCAGGAAGCCTGCGTCAGCAACGAGAAAACCTCTCAGCTTCTCAGATTTCAGCAAAACGCAAGTACAAACAAATCTTACAGCTGCTGAAATAATTCAGCTTTAATCAGGTGGACCTCGAATATTCAGATTCGAGTCCTTTCAAACCCTGACTGAATTAATAATAATTAATTCCCTTATAAGAATTAACGAGTTAAATTCCTTACAGTACAACATGTATGTGTTTGTCTTTACCTGTATAGAGTGTATACATGATTTGTTTGCGTTTGCAAGCATTACTACTACGGCAGCTCATATTAAGGGTCAGGTGTCCTAAATATGAATCTTCAGTGCATAACTCTTCCTGCACCTCCTAAATTATACGTCAGATTGTTGTTAACGATTTGTAATCAGGTGTACAATTTTTGGTGGGCAAAAAAAGAGAGACAAATTTACACTGATAATTTAAGTAGTCTGAAATCTGAAAGTTTCTAATTTTGTGGTCCCTTCTTTGTTGTTGCCTGATTCTATTTCTGTTACACATTTAAAGGGACAGTTCACCCAAAAATTAAAGTTGTCATCATTTACTCACTCACATGTATAAGTTTCTTTCTTCTGTTGAACATAAAAGAAGATATTTTGAAGTTGCTGGTAGCCATTGACTTCCATAGTATTTTTTTTTACATACCATGGAAGTCAGTGGCTACCATCAACTGTTTGATTGCCAACATTCTTTAAAATATCTTCTCTTTTTTGTGCTCAATAAAAGAAAGAGACTAATACAGGTTTGGAACAACTGGAGGGTGAGTAAATGATGACAGAAATTTCATTTTATTGTATATAAACTAAAATGTTTTTTTTATAGTTCATAGGTGAAACTATTCATAGGTGAAACCCACTGCATTCAAGCAGGCTCGGATAACCCCACTGCTCAAAAAACCTACATTAAACTCCCTTTAAGGGAAAATGGTTTGGAGAATGTACAGGGCAGGCTGTAGGACTGGAAGTCTGAGATGACTTCTTGGTGTGGAGGAGAACCAGAAACCCTCCTATTCTAAGCAGTGCACATGTCAACTGAGGGTTCTGGGACCACTAATAAACCTGACCACCATTAGGACAGAAATACACAACCATTATCATGTGGTCTCTGATTCATCTCTTATTGCCTCCTCAGGGCCGCTGGTTCTGGAGAGTGAGAAGGAACAGAGTGCTGGATAACTACCCAATGCCTATTGGACACTTCTGGAGGGGTCTGCCGGGAGACATTGACGCTGCGTATGAAAGGCATGATGGGCGATTTGTGTTTTTCAAAGGTATTTTCTCTTTCCAACTGCACTTGAACATTGATATAGCTCTGTGCTCTTAAAAGTTAATATAGACCATAAAAATGTTATATTTGTGAGCTAAATTATTACCCAGGCTGGCAGAATTACATCACATTGAAGTGCTTTTTACATTAGAACAAACCATTGATTTTTGACGTTTGTCATTTAGAACAGGAAGTGCCCTTGATTTCCCTCAACCACTTATTTGTTAGTTTAATGGATTTTACAGGTAGACGTGACTTTTTGGTTTACATATGAGTTTAAGGTAAATGGACAACATTTCATTTTGGAGCTGTATAATTCTGGAGATTGGCCATAAATTTTGCAAAGGAAGCAAAACTCAGTAAATGCTTTAACTCTTATTTGCTTTGCTTCAATCATTAACAATAAGGATTTTTGCTGTTTTTATTTTTTTTATTATTATTTTCAGCTACTGAATTTTTTTTAGCATTTAAATTTGTCATTAATTTTTTTTAATTCAAATCTTCTTTATGAAAACTGTCATATGACCAACATTTATTTATTTTAAAAATGTTACATTTTTGTACTTGCCAGATTTGTAAAAATATTTTTTTTTCATTCAAAAATTTTCTTAATGTAAAAAAAATATATATTTTTTGATGATTTTTTAAAAGCACAATAATGTAACTCCATTACACCTATACAGTCATAAACATATTTTGCTTTTTGCCTAATCCATTCTTACTGGGGCTTCCAGAACCTTTACAGGTCATATTTGCAGTTTCAAACACATCCATACTAACATCCACGTAGATAACTTTACCTTGAAAAAAAAATGCTCAAACCACAGTGAGGTTTCCTACATTAGTTATACATATCAACACCCCTGAAACAGACATCTAATAACTTCCTGGTGAGGATTTCTGTGAAGATGAATGTAAATTTGTTAGACTTGAGGAAAGCTGGCTCCCATAAGGAAACCGTGTAGAGCAAGTGATGCCATTGGCAAGGCCTTTAAAATTTGGATTTCTGCCATTGGAGAAATCCGGGAGACCAAAAATCTTGGGGAGCAACATCTGTTCTTATTGAGGCGAGGCCATTGCATCAGCTAGCGGTTCTACCAGATGCTGACAGCTACGGTTGGATTTGGATATGGGCCCACTGAATCAAACGGGTCCATGATGACGGTGCCTCAGTGTCTGCCATACTGTAAAATAATAAAATACAAGTCTTATCCCAGTGTTTCTGTAACGGCTCCATTGCGATGCTTTGCTGTCACTTGAACCGCTAAAATGTGGGATTCAAACCAAACCCGCATTGTTGGTGCATCTCTTGCAGTGTTGTAATGCAGTTATTTGTGTTATAATAGAGATTAAACACAAATCTGTGGTTGAGTTTTGGAGTTTATATTATTGTGCCAAAGGTCGGAAAGTCCCTCTACATGCACCATGAAATCCTGTTACCAGTTGAGTGTTGCTGCCTCCGCTTTCTTGTCTTTTCTATTTCCTTGCCATTGTTTTCAACCTCTCTTCTCTTTCTCTTGATGTCCATTTTTGAACTTTTGAGGGTTTTTTAAACCTGTTTTCTAGTGGTTAACCAATATGTTGTTTTCACCGGATGGCCGATATATAAACCTGTATGATGGCAAATGAGACAAAAGCTGTGTCTCAATTCAGGGGTCATATCCTTCAAAGGATGTAGACTTCGAAGGCCACACCTTTAAGTCGGAGAAGTCGAACCAAGCATTGTTAAATGGATAATGCACAAAGCTCAAATCATCTCAAACTGGATTCTTGAACATGACAATGAGTTGACTATAATCAAATGGCCTCCACAGTCACCAGATCTCCATCCAGTAGAGCACCTTTGGGATTTGGTGGAATGGGAGATTCGCATCATGGATGTGCAGCCGATAAATCTGCAGCAACTGCGTGATGCTACCATGTCAATATAGACCAAAATCTCTGAGGAATGTTTGTAGCACCTTGTTGAATAAATGCCACAAAGAATTAAAGCAGTTCTGAATGCAAAAGAGGTCCAACCCGGTACTAGCAAGCTGTACCTAATAAAGTGGCCAGTGTGTGTTCACCTTGGTCCATTTATGTACATAATAAAATATATATATATATATATATATATAAACTTTCAAAAAATATTTACACAATATCTATTCAAAATTCACAAAAACGCGTCAGATTATCACTACTTCCACCTTTCTCTCTCGTGTCCATCCACCTGTAGGAAGTCAGTATTGGTTGTTCAGGGAAGCCAACCTGGAGCCCGGCTACCCTCAAGAACTGATAGACTATGGCAGAGACATCCCGTATGACAAGATAGAGACGGCCATCTGGTGGGAACCTTCTGGCTTCACTTACTTCTTCAAAGGAGACTGGTGAGAGGATAGTCTTGTTTTTTTGTTCCACAAATAATACTGCCTCTAATGTTTATTGTCTAATCATTCCCTTGAGTTGTTTACACCTGGTCTTATCATCAGTCTCGGGTGACCTGATCACAAGTGATCAGACGAGACAGATTGAAGTTTACTCATGGTATTAACATGTCTTGTTACCTTTCTGCGAAATTAAATTCATTTAGAAAAACAGGAAGTTATGTCATAGAGAGAAGCCTTGCAGACCCATATGAGTGTTAATGTCAATAAGTCTCTTTAAAAAAATCTGATTACACATTTATGACAGGAGTGTTTATTTATATCGTAAAAAGACATGAGGTGTTATTTCCCCAAAAAATGTTTAATTCAACAAATATTTGTGCATAATAATAATAATAATAATAATAATAATAATAATTTATACTTTTATTATTTTATAATTTAATAATATTTGTATAAAACCTTTTTAGAAAATAGTTAATATGTGTGTGCTCAGATGTATTCGAGGTTTTCAGAAAATGTTATTACTTTTTACTTGGTTGCAACACATGTAATTGAATTCAAAAAGTTGTTGAAAATTTGATAAATATAGACAATGTCAATCTTGTTCATATGCTTTATTTAATTGTTTATTTTTAAAGCCATACATATCTGACAAAGTTTGAATCCCTTGATTTGGCACAATGATGAAATGCTACCTAAGTAGGCTTTTTTAAGTGTTCGTTTTGCATCAGCATTTATGATAATTTATGATAAGTGACAACATTGAATATGGTTAGTGGTTTCAGTGCTGTGCCCCTGTGATCGGATCATCTGTGATGAATGTTAATAGCATGTGTAAATGGGGTCACTGTGCTGTTGCTTAAATAACTGCATCAAGAAAAGGCAGAATGATTCTCATTGAGGTATGATTGATAAACTACAGGTACTGGCGCTTTAATGAGCACTCCAGAGCTGCAGATCAGGACTACCCTAAGCCAATTAGTGTGTGGGGCACTTCTGTGCCGTCTTCTCCCAAGGGGGCCTTCCTCAGCGATGATGGAGGTGAGTGAGTGAAATGGTGTGTGGGGTTGAGGGGGTCATCCACATCCAGTGCCTGTCACCTTAATGTACAGGACGGATGCAGAACAATCAGATCAATCAGACGGTGAAACAAAGGAAGTGAGAGAATGTAATGTATGAAATGTGATTTGTGGAAATAATGTGATATTATTGGGAAACACTTATATTACTGAAAGCGTTTTCCCATTTAAAGGCATATTCCTGGTTTAAAACAAATGAAACTGTGTTGACAGGATCTGTGGCGTGCTATTATGAATTGCTTGTTATATTCCTCAACTGTAAGTCGCTTTGGATAAAAGCGACTGCTAAATGAATAAATGTAAATGTCTATCGATTACCATAGATTATAATTTTGACAAGTTTGAAAGCCCTAAGTGTGAAAAAAAGTACAGTAATGCACATGTAATGGTATGTTTATGAGTTTAAAAGCAGAAATGTGAAGCTTGTAGTTTTGTTAAAGCAAAAATGTGTCATTTAATGTTGTTTGAGCTGTAAATTCTTGTCTAAATTGTCCTTTTATTAGATTAAGTTCTAGTTATTTGTTACCAATGTAATTCGAGTGGCTGAATTTGTTTATGTAATTGGTCCCGTTCTGGTATTCTTGTAGGTAATGTACAAAAGGTATGGAGTTTCATGACAAAATTCGAGATTGCAAGCTATCAAATTATTCAGACTAGCTCAGGACTACCTCAGCTGTCTGCCACTGCAAGAAAGTTAAATCTGTTGCATATACTACAAAAATAGTAGTTCGGATTTATTTTTGTTGATACTGTACATATTTACATGGTCCGCTGTAAATGTAATGCACATAACCTGAGATGGCAGGCTGACAATAAGCATGATCAATAAGCATGAGGTGACTATTGTAAATAGGCCAAGTGTGTATTTTAACGTTCATCCCATAGATGTCCATTATAATTATAAACATTTACAGTTGAGCTTCATATTCATTTAACCTGACAGTCTCAACCCATATGGCAATATATATTTTTAAAAATGTTTCAAAATATATTTATGGAAATCAAGATATTTTTTGGTTATTTCTTGTCTATTAAAAAAAAATATATATATATATATATATATATATATA